ATTTATCTTTTTAATACTCTGAGTCCATTGCGTCAGCATGGGCAGATCATTTCCCTTTTTCTAAAACCTAAATCATGGGAGAGTCTCTTCACCGAAAAGGAGAAGTTCACAAGCTTCCATTGCCTAATACCATTCTTCAGAGGCACAGTCATAGCTTCTTATCTGGCTCTCGAAGTTCAAGTCCAGCTGTCTAGATCATAACTTTCAACTAGGAAATAACTGGGTGCCTTAAAAAAATAACTAGCACAAAGTTCAGGCCTCTTGTTCTAGAAAATTAGTAAGGTTACTCCTACCAGAGCCACAGGATTAGAATTCCGGTTACTGTTGAGGTTGTGTGTGTAACAAGCACACCTCTTTCCCTGCAGCAGGGTGTATGCAGCAGGCTGCACAGAGCGGAGCGAGGGAGAAGCCCTGGGGGGTGCAGGAAGGTGGTTGGGGAGGGGCTGCTATGTCAGGGACAAATGCCAGCTCCCACAGCCCTTGGTAAAGTGTGACTAGGTACATCAGATTTAGATTAAATGCTCATGAAATGATTTTTTTTTTCCTTTTTTGAAACAGAGTCTCACTCTGTGGCCCAGGCTGGAGTATAGTAGAGTGATCTCAGCTTACTGCAACCTCTGCCTCCTAGATTCAAGCAATTCTCCTGCCTCAGCCTCCTGAGTAGTCGGATTACAGGCACCTGCCACCAGGCCTGGCTAATTTTTTGATTTTTCAGTACAGACAAGGGTTCACCATGTTGGCCAGGCTGGTCTCAAACTCCTGACCTCAAGTGATATGCCTGCCTCGGCTCCTCAAAGTGCTGGGATTACAGGTGTGAGCCACAGCACCTGGCCCCTCAAACTGTTTTGTAGTTTGCATTATGTAGACCAAACAACTTCACTGCACTTACATCTCTAGTGTTGTATTTACTTAAATAATGATTATGAATAACAACTCATTTAATCCTTGTAAACCCTGGGAACTGGGTACCATTATCACTCCCATTTTACAGGTGAGGAAACTGAAACACAAAGACAGGATATGTAATTTGCCCAGCACTGAAGATTCCCGCTAGGGACAGTGTCCCTAGAATCTGTGCTCCCTGGCATTACTCCACCGTGCCTGTCACCACAGCAGACAATTGTTCTCCAATACCAACAATAAAAACAACTTTTCACTGACTTAAGTATTATTCCTTCTCCAGGTTAATCTTCCATTGGCCTGAGTTAGATTCTAGCCTTTAGGCAAGAGCGTCTTACGAGATGTGTAATTTGTCTCCTTTCAGCTGCCTTGCAGCACGACTCTGTTTATCTTATAGGCAATTTTAAATGCTATTTAAATTCTGACAAACCTGAGTTCCGTACTGTGTGATTAGACTGCAAGCACTACTCACAAAGGTGCTGTGTCCTGGTTATTTCTCTAATTGTAGAGTAATTTAAGAAAGAAGGGATAGATCAAGGATAACTATAAAATTATAATGATAATGGCAGTTCTGATGTTCATACCCAGCAAGAAAAAATCAGCAACATAACTACTGAAAGGGCGTAGACAAAATTTGTAAATACGCCCGGCATGGTGGCTCGCCTGTAATCCCAGACTTTGGGAGGCAGAGGTGGATGGATTACCTGATGTCAAGAGTTCGAGACCAGCCTGACCAACATAGAGAAACCCCATCTCTACTAAAAATACAAAATTAGCCAGGCATGGTGGCACATGCCTGTAATCCCAGCTAACTCAGGAGGCTGAGGCAGGAGGATTGCTTGAACCCAGGAGGCGGAGGTTGCAGTGAACTGAGATCACGCCGTTGCATTCCAGCCAGGCAACAAGAGTGACACTCCGTCTCAAAAAAAAAAAAAAAAAATTGTCAATACTTGCAGATTATGTATATGTCTAATCCAAAAAGTCAGTCTCAAATGGAGAGTTCAGTAAGATAGTTTGTAATAACATAAACAAAAAACCAAAGCATTCCTATATCCTACAATAATGATTTTTTTTTTTTTTTTTTTTTTTTTTAAAACGGAGCTTTGCTTTTGTTGCCCAGGCTGGAGTGCAGTGGAGCAATCTCAGCTCACTGCAACCAATGCCTCCCAGGTTAAAGTGATTCTCCTGCCTCAGCCTGCCGAGTAGCTGGGATTATAGGCGCGCACCACTACACGAGCTAATTTTGTATTTTTAGTAGAGACATGGTTTCACCATGTTGGTCAGGCTGGTCTTGAACACCTGACCTCAAGTGATCCACCTGCCTCGGCCTCCCAAAGTGGAGGGATTATAGGTGTGAGCCACCATGCCCAGCCTGACTTTTTAAATAATGGAAAAAATGATAAGATCCCATTCAAAGTTGCATGTAGGAATAAAGAACTATGCAGGGCCTATATGAAGACCATAATAATCTGCTGAAGGACATAGTCAACTGAAAAAAGTTTTCTTATTCTTGTCTCTGAATAAGAAAACTCCATACTGAAAAGACACAGATCCATCCCCAAATAATTGATAAATACAGTTGACCCTTTGTATCTGTGGGTTCCACATACATGGATTCAACCAACCTCAGATCAAAAATATTTGGGAAAAAAAGAAAGGCTGGGTGAGATGGCTGGCCAGGCATGGTGGCTTATGCCGGCAATCCCAGCACTTTAGAAGGCCAAGATGGGAGGATCACTTGAGGCTAGGAGTTCAAGACCAGCCTGGTCAACACAGTGAGGCCCCATTGCAATTAATAAATAAGAAAATATTTGGGGAAAAAATAGATGGTTGCCTCTGTTCTGAACATGTACAGACTTTTTTTCTTATTCTCTAAACCATACAGCCTAACAACTATTTATATCACATTTACATTGTATTAGGTATGAAAAGGAACCTAGAGATGATTCAAGTACACAGGAGGACATGTGGAGATTATGTGCAAATACTACACCATTTAAATCAGAGACTTGAGCATCTTCCAATTTTGGTATCCCAGCGGTTGGAGGGAGTCCTAGAACCAATGCTCCTTGAACACCGAGGGACAACTGCATAATGAATTTCAAATAAAATCTCAATTTACAAGGGAATGTTGGTTGAATGCTTAACAAATAGACTCTAGGCCAGGCGTGGCGGCACATGCCTGTAAACTGAGCACTTTGGGAGACTGAGGCAGGTCCGTTACTTGAGCCCAGGAGCTGGAGACCAACCTGGGCAACATGGTGAAACCCCATCTCTACAAAAATTAGCCAGGTGTGGTGGCGCATGCCTGTGGTCCCAGCTACTCAGGAGGCTGAGATGGGAGGATCACTTGAGCCCAAGAGGTGGAGGCTGCAGTGAGCCATGATCACACCACTGCACTCCAGCCTGGGCAGCACGTGACACCCTGTGTCAACAACAACAGTGACAAAAAGGAAAAACCAAATAGACTCCAGAGTTAATCTGAAAGAAGAAATGGAGAGGCTGGCCAAGAAATTTTTGAAAAAAACAAAACGGGTGATTTTCAACTTTTTTGCAGCCTAAAGTTTCTTTATTCAAACACAGCCTTGCCTCCCCATTCAGATACTTTTGGTGGGTTTTTACTCCGTCCTGAATAAAGTCCAAGTTCCTTAACCTGAGCATTGTAAAAAGAGCATTCTGACAATGTCCAAGGGTGTTCAAAAAGCAATGTCTGAAACTCCACGGTTCTATCACTTCGGCGGAGCAGCCCTATGTTTATTCTGCATGTCCTTCCGGTCTTGGTGTGTCTATGCCTTTACACAGTCCTGTGCTTTTTTTTTTTTTTTTTTTTTTTCAAGATGGATTCTCACTCTGTCTGCCAGTCTGGAGCACAGTGCGCGATCTCTGCTCACTGCAACCACTGCCTCCTGGGTTCAAGTGATTGTCCTGCCTCAGCTCCCGAGTAGCTGGGATTACAGGCCTGCTTTACCATACCTGGTTAATTTTTGCATTTTTAGTAGAGATGGGGTTTCACCATGTTGGCCAGGCTGGTGTCAAACTAGTGACTGCAGGTGATCTGCCTGCCTCAGCCTCCCAAACTGCTGGGATTGCAACCGTGCCTGGTTGCAGTCCTATACTTAATTGTGTTTGAGGACTAAGAATGCCACAAGCTTGACTTTGGGAATAGCATAAAGCAACAGCACAGTGCTGGGCTCCAAGGGGCACAGCTGCCTGAAAGAGGGCAGAAGCTCCCTGAGGGCACCAAAAGCACTGATGGCATTTTAAACTTAGTCCAAGCTAACGGAGTGACACTAGACTTTCCCACAAATTCTCTAACCTGGATGTAAATTGTAATTCCAGAGTCCCTTGTTTTGCAGGAAAATTAATCAGTATATGGTCAAATAACAGACGGAATGAGCTGCCAGACAGGATCTGTTGCCAGTGCAACAGAACAATGTGCTTGTTCACGCCACGCTCAGGTCCCCTGTTATCTGCAGTCCTCCGGGCAGTCCTGTCTGCTGGCTGTGTCTCCCCCTGTTTTACACAGGAAGCTGGAAGGTGTCATGGGATTTCCTTGAAACTACAGGCTAGTGAATGGCAGAGCAGGAGCTCAAACCTAATGATCTGCCAAACCTCTGCTTCGGAGGTTCAAGCCTTCTGCACAGATCATTTGCATTCTCTGTGTAGGGCGCAGGGTTGCTTGCTGTCCTGTCAGCTTACTCTTGGATTGGGCATTCCTGGAAGTGCCAAGAAGCAAAATCCAGTTCTTTGATCTCCTCACTTCAGCTGTTCTTTCTTCCAGCCAACTTCCAGGATGACACCCCTTGGCATGACCACACCACGTCTGAAATCTCAACTTCCCACTTTCCACCCTGTGACCTCCACCTCCTTTCTTGCAGTGTTCCTGGTGCTGACTTTCTTGCAGTTCCTGACAAGCAGCCCTGCCTTTGAGTTCTCATTGGATGAGAAACGAAGGCAGCAGATGTTAGCTGCTGTGTGCACCTATCCCCATCTTGACCATTATTTCTGTGCATGCTTTGCTGTGGATCTGTTGGGGCCTGATCCAGCTGTGTAAGCTGAGACGTGAATGTGCTTCCACAGTGTGGGCATCTTGGATGCAGGTACAGGTCCCTCTAGATCCAGGGCCACTTGGCAATGTCTGAGACATTTTTGGTTGTAACAGCTAGGGTGAAGAGCACTGCCAGCATCTAGTGGGTGGAGCCAGGAATGCTGCCATCCATCCTGTGATGCACAGGTCAGCTGCCCACAACAAGGAACCCTGCAACTCCAACATCCGTAGTACTGAGGTTGAGGGACCCTGCTCTTCATTCATCTTAGAGTTTCCCAAAAAGCCCAACACCACAGTGATACGGTTGCCACCAGTGGGGAGCTTCAGTGTAATCTCAGCAACTTTTAAAATCAAGCCGGACGGTCAGGTCAGAGAAGTGTTTGGAAAGCCTCCAGTGGGTTTGGGGGCCACGCCCTCTCATCATGCCAAGGCAGCTGCCCAGTGAGGCGCAGGGTATAAAGGTGACGTGGTCAGGAGTGGCTATTTGATCTCCAGTTATTCCAGAATTTCCACTCTTGTGCCAAGCATGTCTCTCCAAATGGCTGCTCTTTGGTGTTCCTTACGCTCCCCGTGAAGTTCAGCTAAGATCTTCATTTTTCAAAGGTGAGGCTTCTTTGTTATATGTCGGAGTCTTCTCCAAAGATATCAGATTTGTACAAATGGATGGCATTTTTCTGCAGTCGAATAGTTGATGACTTTTCTTTGAAGTATATTTCAAGGGCCAGAGTGCAAAGGGGCAAACCCTTCTATTAGAGTGGGGGCCTATGTTTTTAATGTTGTGCCAAAGTGTGTTTTAGCCTTTGTTTCCCTCTATGGATATTCATTTTCTTGGAAAGATCATCTTAGGGATGCTGTTTTAGGGATTTCTGTACCTTCAGCTGGAAGGATGCTCACAGTTCCTGATGTTCGTGTCTGCCCTTCAGTCAGGCAGTCTGCAAGCCAAGCTGCTTAGTGGCAGTGCTTTGCTTTTAAACCTCTGAATACATCTTGAGTACCTTAAACTTCCCTGTATGCTATGGTTACTGTTTAAATTCAGATTAGAAAGTCCTATCCTCCCCACTTTTCTTTTTTTATGAATGACATTTATCAATGACATTTGTAGCGTGGCTGATTTCTGAAGTTTTCAGATAGTAGCGTAAAGATTTATTTCATGGCTCTGATTGTCGAGAACACTCTGTCTTTTCTAGAATGTTAAACTCATAGGCAGGATTACTGAGGCAAAGCCAAATAAATGAGGGAATCCCTGGAAAAAATATATTGCTTTTATTTTGTATCAAAATTGCCATTTTTTTGGCCAGGGGTGGTGGCTTACACCTGGAATCCCAGCACTTTGGGAGGTTGAGACAGGTGGATTGCTAGAGGCCAGGAGTTTGAGACCAACATGGTGAAACCCCATCTCTACTACAAATATCAAAATAATTAGCCAGGCGTGGTGGCACACACCTGTAGTCCCCAGCTACCCGTGAGGCTGAAACAGGAGAATCACTTGAATCCAGGAGGCAGAAGCTGCAGTGAGCCGAGATCACACCACTGCACTCCAGTCTGGGCTACAGAGCAAGACTCTATCTCAAATAAAACCCAAAAAAACAAACAACAAAATAAAAACAAAGAAAGAAATTGCCACTTTCTATTCCTAAGTATAGATTGAAGCATTTGATTGCTTTCTTCTCAGTGGGTGTACTGTTAGCTGATGGATACAGTTGTTAAGGATAAAGCTTGTTTTCCCATGTCACTATCTATTCTTAACATTTTAAATGAACTATTCTGAGAGCCTGTACAGATTTTTTTTCTTCACAGGAGAGTTACCTTAAGGGACTTTTCAAAATCTGTGCCTATATGACTGAGAAATACATAATGGATTTTAGCTGTCATGTTTTTTAGAAGGTAATTGGTAGATATTTACAGTGCGTCATGTTCATGAAAAACAGAAATGGGCCTGGTGTGGTGGCTCACTCCTGTAACCCCAACACTTTGGGAGGCCAAGGTGGGAAAATTGCTTGAGCCTAGGATTTTGAGATCAGCCTGGGAAACATGCTGAAATCCTGTCTCTGAAAAAAAAAAAAAAAAAAAAATAGCCAGGCCTGGTGGTGCACACCTGTGGTCCCAGCTACTCGGGAGGCTAAGTTGGGAGGACTGAGGCCAGGACTAAGTTGAGGCCATTGCACTCCAGCTGGGCAACAGTGCGAGGCCTTGTCTCCCCCAAAATAAACAAACAAAAAAACCCAGAACTGGTTTTCTTAGAGATGCTTTCCTGGAGGTGTTTGTGGCCATTTCCTTGGCTACTGTGTATAGAGGAGGTTTCTGTGGCCACTGTGTCATTATGAGCTTCGGGATCACCAATTCTGTGGGACACATTGGGAAAGCAGATACATTTAAGACTACTATGGACTTATTCCTAAACATTCTTTGAGATGAGCTTAATTCCAGAGTAAAATACTTTAGAAGTTATTTTAAGTACATGTCAGATTGTACCCCAAGGCAATATTATTAGGCATAATGGAACACCATGGAAGGAGCTCAGGTATAGTGCACTTGACTGGGACACATATATTCGAGGCAGGTCCTTCAATATTGAGTCCTCTTGCTCCTCATTCTCCCTCAACTCTGCCATCCACTGTCCCCGCACAGTGGATGTTATCTGCCCTCTCTTGGCCACTTTGGTGTTCTCATTCCCATGCAGGACACAATCAGATCAAATCCTGAGTCACTACATGGTGCTAGCACCTGCAGCTCCCGTCCCTGCTCCCCACCCCATCCTTTGGTCGGCGCCTCTCAGGCCTCACCCCACCCACTCCATCTTTTCTCATTGTCCTTTCAGCTTCCAGACAGTCTCGAGTCTCTTCCATCCTTAAAAACCGACAAACACGTGAATAAATCTCCCCCACGCAAAGCCCATTCCTTGGTCCCACCTTCCTTCAAGGCTGCAGTCTACCATTTATTATACATGCACAACCACAGAAAATGTTTACTTGCCAAATTTTAATGGCAGAATGTAATGACCAGTGTTTCTCTAGTTGCAAATTAAAGTCCTTCCTGACCTTGCTCCCTTCACTCTGTGGATTCCAGGAGACACCTCTATTTTTTGATTCTCTAACTACCCCTTCTCTGTCTTGACTTGTTCTTACACACCTCTTATCCTTCCCACGTAGGTGTCCCAAGGTTCCTTCCTTCAGGCTCCTTTCTGTTCTATGCATGCTGCCTGATTTTAACTAATCGGTATTGTGGGCTGAAGTGCCTGTTAGATACTTCCACTGAGGCTTTCTGCCACCAATTCAAATACAGTTCAACCAAAAATCAAACCCATCACCTTCCTTAGAAAATCTAAAGGGATTTAAAAAGCAAAAAACAAACAATAAAAACCCTCTTAGATGAAAAATAAGTGTGATGAATTGCGGGGTGCTAGGTAGTTATTTAAAAAATATTCTAAAGACATGTTCATTTTAAAAGAGAGTTTCTATTCCCAATTGCTACAAAAGTATAAAATACTGAAGATCAATGAGAATTAATGATAACTCATCAAAGTCCTCCATTTTGTTAGGAAAACCATTCATCCACCTATCTATCTACCCACCCATCAGTTATAAGGCGCCTACCATGTTCTAAGCGGTGAGAACATGCTCTTACTCGGGAAAGCCCATTCATAGCCTGGGGGTGGGGGCTGAGAGTGGTGGTAGGGGAGGTTCAGTTCGTACCCCGATCACAGGGCAGCTGTGGGAAGGCAGCATGGTGCCATGTGTAAGCCTGGCACTGCAGCTGCGTTGAATGCTAGGGACATGCTCCCTGTTGCTTTCCAGATGCTCTTGCTCTTCTCTTCACCAGAGGCAGTCGGGACCCTGGCCTAAGGGCCAAGTACACTTTGCACCTAAGCTGGACCAGCTGGCCATGGGTACCACCTTCTTTGCAGACAGAAGGCAGGGTCTGGCTCCCCTGCTTGGTGCTCCTACCAATACCCCTGGCCTTACTGGGAGATCCAGCTCCTGGCATTGACCTTAGTGTGTGCCCTATTTTGCCAATGCCTCTGGAGTGGGAAGTGTGGTCACTGGTCTACCAGGAAGACAGCTAAGGGCATTCACTGAGTCCATGTGATGACTGTCGGCTCCCAGTGAGGCCCCGGGATGGCTGGGAGGAAGGGAGCAACCCTGCATCAGGTGGCGTGCTGATGGTGCATTCCATCATGTGTGCTAAGTAAAGGCTGAGGGGACCTGGGTTACAAACCCAGCTTCACTCTTCCAACATGCATCTGTGGACAAGTTCCATAATTTTTGTGAGCCTCAGTGTGCAGATAAAGTGCGTTGTAAACTGAAAGGTGCTGTGCATTCAGGTGATCATTTCATGAGCCACACATCTAATAAATGTGTTTTTAGATATTAGTCAAAGGGAACCAAATTGGCCAGGTGCAGTGGCTCACACCTGTAATCCCAGCACTTTGGGAGGCTGAGATGGGTGGATCACTTGAGGTCAAGAGTTGGAGACTGTTCTGGCCAACACGGTGAATCACTGCCACTACTAAAAATACAAAATTAGCTGGGTGTGGTGGCCCATGCCTATAATTCCAGCTACTTAGGAGGCTGAGTCAGGAGAACTGCTTGAACCTGGGAGGCAGAGGCTGCAGTGAGCCAAGATCATGCCACTGCACTCCAGCCTGAGTGGCAGAGCAAAACTTCATCTCAAAAAGAAAAAGAAAAAAGGATCCAAATAAAGCAATAACATGAATGTAAGCTCATGGTTTGTAGAAGTTATTTAATGATATTTATTCTGTTGTAATCAATATGGCTAGTGATTCATGTTCATGAAAAACAGACGTTAGGGCTCTGATTTAGAAAAATGACATCATGTTAGTTACCTGACTAATGGGGAGGCTGAGAGCCACTGTGTCCTCCCCATCTGCCCTCAGCCTTGCACTGCCCTCCCTGTAAGGGTTTGTCTCTGCAGCCCCAAACCACAGCGGGAGGCACAGCTAGTGAACCAAGCAACAGACCAGTACCATGGAGACAAAGTAAACCAAGTCTGGGTGTGGCCCCAAATTGGTTAACTGTTCTGGCATTTTCTGGTAAGCTACGATTCTGATGTTCCTAGAACAAAGTCAGCCCATTCTATTTGCCTTTTGTTCTTTTCTCAGGAGTCTCCTACACTTCTGAGAATGGGTTTTTAGATTTCAGACATTTAATTTTCATTGAGAGGGCACAGAGGAAGGCAAAATGATATCATGAGCCTGGTAACTTTTAAGGATGCCCTCTGAGACAGTCAGACCTGTCACAAAACCCAAAGCACCCTCTCAGTGCAGAAACTCTGGACTTAACCAGTGATGACGGGAGGTTAGTTCTGTGTGTCTGCAGGCAATCACCTGCAGTTTGGAAGAGGCCAGAAATTCCAAGGCACTTGTTAGAAGGGGCTGTCTTGTTAGAAGGGGCTTTCAGTAAGGGATCATCCTTACTGAAAAAAGGAGGAAGTCAAGCCCTGGTCATTGCCCTCACAGCTCTTTAGTTAAGACCCTGGGCCCCACACTGGCATGGTCCAGATGTACCTTTTTTTTTTTTTTTAATTTTTTTTAGATAGCGTCTCACTCTGTCTCCCAGGCTGAAGTGCAGTGGCATGATCTTGGCTTACTGGAACCCCCACCTCCCGGGTTCAAGTGATTCTCATGGCCTGGCCTCCTGAAAAGCTGAGATTACAGACATGCATCACAACACCCAGCTAATTTTTGTATTTTTAATAAAGACAGTGTTTTGCCATGTTGCCCAGGCTGGTCTCGAACTCCTGGGTTCAGGTGATCCACCCACCTGAGCCTCCCAAAGTGCTGGGATTACAGGTGTGAATCACTGCACCTGGGCCCCAGATGCACCCTCTTCTGAGGTTGCACCACCCCCCTGCCCCCACCACCCCTCACGCTGCCCAGACCTTTCCAAAGTGCCCTCGGGTTTTTTCTGCTAACCTTCCTGAGAATGAAAACCTGGGGATTCTCGCCTGGCTTTTTTCAGACTCTTCGGTGGTTTTAGTTTTGTCTTCAAGGTGAAGAATTTAATATGACTCTGCCAAGCCATCTTTAGAGCTGTGAGTACTGGGATGAACATTTTGTGTACCTCCGTGTTTCTATAAAATGCCACCTTTCAGAGCCACACCCACACCTTGACTTCTGACTGGGTGTTCCCAGAGTCATGTTTGTGGGTTCCAGTCACCCATTCACCACCCTCACAATTGACCTTGCTATAAGTTTTAAAAAAAAAAAAAAGGCTGGGGGTGGGAAGGAAGACTGCATCAGAAGGGGGCTTGAAGAAGGGGACATTAAAGTTATTTGTATTACTTAGGTTGGTGTAAAAGTAATTGCATTTCTTGCCATTAATTTTAATGGCAAAAACCACAATTGTTTTTGCACCATCCTAATAAAACTGGAAGGCAACTGTGGACCCTCTACACTTTATTCCTGGGGCTCTGAGATCTAAAAACACCAAGAAAAATGTATTAGCATTCGACTTACAGAATAGACTCTGCTCTTGAGCTGAGAATGGTTCTGAGACCATCCACCTCATAGGACTGGCTGGGCTGAAACCCAAGTCAGCATGTAGCATCCTCCCATCTAGAAGGGCCTTAGAACAACAATTTTCTTTAATATGCTACTGCTTAGTGGAATCAGAAACCAACGATTACTTTTTTATTGCTGGTAATGTTCGTTTGTTCCTGGGACTAAGACTCATGAGTTCGCTGCTTCTTACTCCGTGACTGTCCTGGCATGGTCCCCTCCCTGCCACCTACATCCTCTGCAGCAGCCCCTCCCATAGCTTTTGTGGCGGGCAATGGGTTTGTTCTCTTCCCTGGGCTGCCCAGTCTCGCTGCCTGGCTCATCCCAGTGCTTGGCCTGGTGCCCAGCTTCCTTCCGGCTATGGAGGAGGAGGAGGAGGCCTAGCACCTTGAATTGGGACACCTGCTAAGGCGACTCATCTGGAAAAGAAGGGACTCCAGAAGCAGCAAGACAGGTGCTGGTTTGCTTTTTACTGGACTCCCAGGACACCGGGCACCAGGCTAGCAGGGCAGCTCAACCTGACTGTGCCCAGCAGGATCCCCGTGTTAGGGCCTTTGGTCCTCACCCTTACAGGGGGCACTGTCATTATCGCCAGCATATTTTGGATGAAACTCCGGGCACAGAAACTAAGCAGCTTGCTCAATATCCCTTAGTGAGTAGCAGGGCCAGCACCTGAACAAGGTGGCTTAATTCCAGAGCCCACTTCTTAATCCCTTCCCTGTATGGTTTTCAGAAGCTGATAACTAGCAATTGACTGGTGGCCTGGGGAGTAGGAAAATGTGTCTCATGGCAATTACAGGTGTCTTCAGGCACTGCCTCTTGGACAGCCCAAAGGAATGAAGCCAGTCCCAGTGCCCTGCTCTGGAAGATGTGGTGACAGGGTTTGGGGTGTTGAGTAGCTTGAGAATCTGCCTATCTAGATCAGAATATTCAAACTCAAGTCTGTTTTATTAATGGGTTATCATTCTCATCAGTGAAGTTGTGGCCACTGATAAAAGTCTAACTGCTTTCTACAATAAATTCCCAGGGAACATTTAAAATTATTTTCTCCAAATAATTGCACTTTATACAATCAAGAATTGTTATAGGCCAGGTGCGGTGACTCACACCAGTAATCCCAGCTCCTTACGAGGCTGAGGTAGATCACTTGAGGTCAGGAGTTCAAAACCAGCCTGACAAACATGGTGAAAACCCCATCTCTACCTAAAATACAAAAATGAGC